GAGTGGGATCAGCGTATGGTAAGTCTCGGTCTTCGTGGTTGAAACCGGAGTAGCCACGGGCTTGCAATCAACCATACCTGCTCGTTTTAGAATATCCTTCATGTACCGTTGTTGAGACAGACGCATGCCATCAGACAACGGAATGGTCTCAATACCCAGAAAGAACGAGGGCACACCCATATCACGAACTTTAACTCAAGAGCCAACTTGTCAATAAGAGCAGTCACATGAGCCGGATCAGATCCCATAACCAAAATATCATCCACATAAACCAGAAAATATAAACGAGTATTGCCATGTGAATATATAAATAGAGAGACATCCGTCTTGGAAGGTGAGAAACCAGCAGAAACCAGAAAATCATGCAAACGAGTGAACCAAGCACGTGGAACTTGCTTAAGCCCATATAAAGAACGTTGAAGGAGACAAACGTGCCCGGGCATCGTTTTGTCTTCATACCCAGGGGGCTGGTGCATATAAACCGTCTCAGCGAGATTGCCATTTAGAAAAGCATTGTGTATGTCCAACTGTCAAATAGTCCATCCACGAGAAATAGCTAAGGATAAAAGAAGACGTACCGTAGTCGGTTTAACAACGGGACTAAAGGTCTCAAAGAAATCCTCGCCGATAATTTGATTGAATCCCTTGGCAACTAACCGAGCCTTGTAACACTCAATCGAACCATCAGCCTTTCTCTTGGTTCTAAACACCCACTTACATCCAACTACATTCATACCTGATTTAAAGGGAACAAGCCTCCATGTATTGTTGTGCACCAAGGCATTAAATTCCAAATCCATTGCATCCCGCCATTCAGGAAATTTAACCGCTTGAGTAAAACATGTAGGTTCAGGAGTAACAGCAGCAGCAGATAAAGCAACATGATCATGTGGTCCCGAACTTCTCGTATTCATTCCATGAGAGTGAACGGGTGAGGGCGCATGACAAGACCGACCACGAGGCCGGCCTCTTGGCCGAGGAGCCGGCTGGTCCGTGACTGTCCGCTCGGACTCGGTCACGGGCTCGGCAGTAGCAGGCTGCTGGCGGTGGTGGTCAGAAGCGGCTATGGGCGCGGCAGGAGGGTCACGAGCCGTGACAATAGTCGGATCGATCACCACCAGAAACAATTGGTGCAACACCCCACGGCTCCGGGCGTGGTTTTGGAACCTGCGAATCCACAGAAGCAACAAAAGGAAAGACAGCCTCATCGAATCGCACATGGCGACAGATAAAAACCTTGTTAGTGTTAGTGTCTAAACAACGATAGCTACGAAAAGATGGATGATATCCTAGAAAGACAGAAAGGGATGACCGAAACTGTAGTTTGTTGCGATTATAGGGACGCAGATTTGGAAAGCATAAACACCCAAAAACACGCAGATATGAATAAGATGGAGGAGACCGATGCAAAAGATAATGAGGAGATTTATCAGATAAGACAGGAGTGGGCATTTTATTGATTAGATAAACCGCAGTTTCAAAAGCATAATCCCAAAAATGAGACAGAACAGAGGATTGAGCCATTAATGCTAGTCCTGTTTCAACAACATGCCTATGCTTACGTTCTACCCTGCCATTTTGTTCATGAGTATACGCACATAATTGCTTGTGACGAATACCTAAGGACGCAAGAGTGGAACCAAGCTTTTTATATTCTCCCCCTAAATCAAATTAAAAAGAAATAATCTTGCGAGAAAAGGAACGTTCAACTAGTGACCGAAACTTATCAAATATAGCATACAAATTAGATTTAGCACGCATGGGATAATACCACATATAACGAGTGTAATCATCCACAAACAACACAAAATATTTAAAGCCAGACGCAGAAAATAATGGCGCAGGGCCCCAAATATCTGAATAAATTAATTCCAAAGGATGCGTACTAGTAGTTTCGACACGAGACAAAGGAAAACGAGAAGATTTTCCTAATTGACAAGAGGAACAGACATTGGGAAGATCACTAGAATTAAATGTACCAACAGATGAAGACGCTAAAATTTTACGTAAGACTCGAGAATGAGGATGCTCCAACCGCATGTGCCAAACGTAAGAGGACCGTGCAGCAACAAATGCAGCAGGGAAAGCAGAAGACGCAGGCCATGTGTAGAGACCCCCAGACGCATGACCCTTAAAAAGAACCTTCTTGGTCAAAATGTCTTTCACATATAAACAAAGAGGGTGGAACTCAAAGAAAACATTATTGTCCGTGTGACCAAAACGGTCACAAATTTGACACGGATCATCATAGCGCCAAAAACAATTGGCTCCCGTGTGACCAAAACGGTCACAAATTTGACACGGATCATCATAACGCCAAACACAATTGGCTCCCGTGTGGCCGAAACCGTTACAAATTTGACACGGATCATCAACGTCACGTCGTTGACCGGACCGCTTCTGATACCATGTATCTTGGTTTGATGCCATCGGCTACTGCTACGAAGTGAGGAACATGGATGTTGGAAAAGAAAACCCTGGCTAACTGATACCAGATGAGAATATAATTGTGTTGTATTCAATAATAATGTCTGAGAGTACAGGGAGCGAATATATAGAGATGCTAGATAGAATCCTAGTCTAACACGAATAATATAGTCCTAGTCTAATATGGATAATAGAGTCCTAATAGGTAACACCATATATTACAGACTCACTTTGTGTTTAGGATTCACAAACAAAGTAGAAAGTATACTTATTAGCATAAGATGACAATTGGCCGGTTATGCGAAAATATATATATGACGATGTCCTTTATATTATCACCTGTAATCCAATAGCACAGGAAAGACGTACTATCAATAAAAAAAAGAAGATGATAAATACTGAAGATGAAAACAATGACAATATTATCCAAAAGAAATAGAAGACTTAGAGAAATTCAAACCAAAAGTAGTATTTATTTAGACTATTGTTTTTAGACTAAGTATTTAGACTAGTGTTTTTACAAAGTTGTAAACGTTTATTTTATTGACAATTATAATCAACCCCTCCTATATTGTCTTACAATTCATATACTTACACATCTGATCTCTTATATAATCTTGTATTGATATACTTTGAAATACTTAACTATTGAGCATTATCTCATTCACACAATGCATGTGAAAAACTTGTGTGTGTGTGTGTGTGTGTGTGTGTGTGTGTGTATATATATATATATATATATATATATATATATATATATATATATATAATGTTGATTGCAGGGAAGTTATGGTATAGGTATTTTGGGCGGCGACTTGAAAGGTGGAGTCCATCATCTTGCCATCGAAATGAAGAGTTTACTATTACACAATTATAAGGAAAATAAAGCTGTACTTTTGTTATTAGCTAAGCTTTTGGTTTCACGAAATGGAAGAAGATGAAAAGAAGTAACTGTTTCATTTTATTGTCAACTGGAGGACCAAAGCTCCCTTTTATACAAGAGATACAAGAAAGAAGAGATGAAGCTAACTGCTAAACAGAAACAAACAAACTACCAAGAAGAGGATGAGGATAAGATGGTGACACGTAGCAGCCAGGTGTCAATATCCTATAGTCCTAAAAGCCCCCCTCAAGCTGGATTATACAAATCTAACAATCCAAGCTTGGAAATGTAATTGTGGAACGAACTTGGACAATGTGCCTTAGTAAAAGTATCAGCTAGCTGATTTGCAGATGATACATGGAACAGCTTGATAACTCCTCTATTGAGCTTCTCTCTAATTAGGTGACAATCCAGTTCTATATGTTTCGTACGTTCATGAAACATAGGGTTCTCTGCAATAGCAATAGCAGACCTGCTATCACAATACATAGCCACAGGAGTATTCTGGTTTACCCCAAAGTCTGCAAGCAGAAAACATAGCCATTGGACTTCACATGTTGTTGTTGCTAAGGCTCTATACTCAGCCTCTGATGATGATTTAGAAATGGTGGCTTGCTTTTTTTGACTTCCATGAGACCAGTGCATCCCCTAGGAAAGTGCAAAAACCAGTAACAGATTTCCTTGTGTCCAAGCAGGCCCCCCAATCAGAATCTGAGAAAGCTTTCAGGTGTAAATCAGAAGAGGAAGGGAAAAATAAGCCTTGGCCTGGAGCTGCCTTGATGTACCTTAATACTCTATGGACAGCTTGTAGATGAAGGTGAGTGGGATTGTCAAGGAACTGGGACAGCTGTTGTGTTGCAAAGCTAATGTCTGGTCTTGTGATGGTCAGATACAACAGCTTACCAACAAGCCTCCTGTACTAAGAATTGTCTGCTAGAGGTTCTCCATCATTTTTGCTAAGTTTGTGGGATGGAACTGTGGGGCTGTGAACTGCTTTGGAGTTGGTGAAACCAGCACCATTGAGTAACTCAAGAGCATATTTCCTCTGACAAACAACAATACCTTTGCTTTGCCTAGCCACTTCCAAGCCAAGAAAGTACTTCAAAGCCCCTAAATCTTTTATTTTGAAGTTTGTATTCAACTGTCTTTTTACCTCTTGAATGGCTTCTAAGTCAAAACTAGTCACAACAATGTCATCCACATAGACTAGTAGTGCCACAAAAGAGCCTTCTCTCATTCTAGTAAACAAGGAGCTGTCAGCCATGGATTGCTTGAATCTCATACTGTGTAGGGCAATATTCAGCTTAGTATTCCATTGCCTACTGGCTTGTTTCAGCCCATATAATGACTTGTTTAACTTGCAGACCTTCCCATTATTTGTGCCTGGAAATTCAAGTGGTGGTTGCATATATACTTCTTCATTTAAATCCCCATGTAAGAAAGCATTGTTGACATCCATTTGGTGGAGGTGCCAGTTCTTTGCTGCTGCTATTGCCAGGAGGACTCTAATGGTGGTCATCTTGGCTACTGGACTGAAGGTATCTAAATAATCAACACCAAGTGTTTGAGTATACCCCTTTGCCACAAGTCTTGCTTTATACCTTTCTATAGTGCCATCAGACTTGTATTTGATTTTGTAGACCCACTTGCAGCCAATTGGCCTTTTGGAAGGGGGCAAATCCACTAATTCCTAGGTGTTGTTCTTTTCCAGTGCACTGCTCTCTTCTTTCATGGCTTTTGTCCAGCATTCATACTTTGCTGCCTCTTGATAATTCTTTGGCTCAACTTGGCAAGAAATGTTCATAACAAAGGATTGAAAATGTGGTGACAGTCTGTCATAACTGAGGACTTTGCACATGTCATGGGGAGATGTCTTTACAGATGCACTCTGACATACATAGTCTTGTAAGTAATGTGGAGGTTGTTTCTGCCTGGTTGATCTTCTATGAACTTGTTGGGGAATCTCAGAGGGTGGGATATGAGCCACATCATTAGACACCTGCTCATTTGACACCTGATCATCATCAAACATCTGCTCATTTGTCCCACTCCATGAATGAGTCTGCTCATTCTGCTCATCAGGGGAATCACATCCAGAATTAGAACTTGTCTGGATTCTACATTCAGTGGCTTGTCCCTGGGGAATTTCTGGAAACTCAATGGGAATAGTTCCATCAGTAGGAAGTATGATCTTAGGGGTTCCATTCTCTGCATTATCAATCTGCTGGAAAGGGAAAATGTCCTCACAGAAAATCACATCTCTTGATACAGACATTTCTTTGGATTTGAGATCATACACCTTGTAGCCCTTCACACCATTAGCATAGCCAAGGAAGATGCACTTCCTAGCCCTTGCATCCAATTTAGACTTAGGTCCTAGCACAGTAGCATAGGCTAGTCATCCAAGAACTCTTAAGTGTTGAAACTGAGGTACTTTCTTCATTAGGACTTGGTAGGGAATCTTGTGGTTTAGGGCAGCTGATGGGAGCCTGTTTATTATGTAAGCAGCATGTAGAATACATTCCCCCCAAAACTTCTCTGGAAGACTGGCCTGAAACCTAAGAGCCCTGGCAGTTGACAATAAATGGCCATGCTTTCTCTCAACTCTACTGTTTTGTTGAGGAGTAAGTGCATGATGTTTGGTGCACAATGCCCTTCTGTTGAAAGAAATCTGTCATGTTGAATTCCAACCCATTATCTGACCTGATACATTTAACAGAGGTCCCAAACTAATTTTCTACTAAGTTGCAAAATTCTGTAAGTAAACCTCTGGTTTCAGATTTCATCTTCATCAAATACACCCAAACTGCTCTACTATGATCATCAAGGATTGTAAGGAAATAATGATGCCCATGAATGGTAGCCACTTTGTAAGGACCCCATATATCCACATGTAGCAATTCAAAACAGTTAGCAGATAAAGAGGTACTAGAAGGAAAATGAAGCCTTTTTTGTTTAGCAAAGTGGCAACTATCACAAATCAACTCTTTATTTGACTGAATGGTGGGTTCTAACCCTTTTAACAACTGTATTTTTTAGTATGAGGCATGCCCTAGCCTTGCATGCCACATGATACATTTATTATGAACTGAAATGGAATTGCATACAGACAAATATTCAACTGGAAAGACTAGGTAGTATAGACCATTTCTCAGCTCAGCCCTTCCAATCACCTTCCTTGGATAGCATCCTGTATAACACACTTATCAGACTGCATTTCTATGACACATTTGGTGTTCTTAGCAAGAGCTCCTACTGAAATCAGATTATAATGGAAACCAGCAACATAAAGCACATTATGCAAAACAAGCTCAGCAGACAGATGAACTAATCCAGTAAAGCTGATAGCAGCTTGTTGGCCATTTGGCAAATCAACATGTAAATTATGGACTTCCTTTTGATCTCTTAACATTTCCAAATCACAAATAATGTGGTGGGTAGCACCACTATCCACAATCCAGTCATTCTTGTTGATTTTAACAGAGTTGAGTGAGGGAGGCATACCTTCATTCTGGAAACCAGTGGATAAAGTGTTGACTAGAGCCTTTGGGGGTTGATCAAAAGGTGAATTCAAGCTCTCACTAGTTGGTTTCTTGGACTGCATGAACTCAAGAAACCTTGCAAAATCATCATGAGTGAATGACACCCCACTACTGTTAGTCTGCTGGTGTGTTGATGATCCTTGTGTCTGATTTGCACTTGCATAGCCTTGATTCTTGGATTTAGGTCTCCAGCCTGGGGGATACCCATGCTTCTTATAGCATTTGTCTTCTGTATGCCCTGTGTAACCACAATGTGTGCACACAGGTCTTTTATTCGTTGTTGAAAACTTCTTGAACCCTGCCTGAGAGTTTCCATCTGTTCTAGCCATAAACACACTGCCTGTGGTGTTACTTTCCCCAGTTTGGTGTAGTTGGCTTCCAAAGCCAATATCAGCCATTTGAAACTGTCTTTCTTGTTGAGCAATCATTGAATAGGCTTCATTAACATCTGGCAAAGGCCTCATAAGCATAATTTGGTTCCTAGCTCCTGTGTATTTCTCATGCAATCCAATCAAGAAGATGGATAGCTTATCTTTTCCAGAGTATTCATTCAATTCATCAATCTTTTTGCCACATTCACATTTAACATTGCAGGCACAACTCATCAAGGGCCTAAGAATACTCAATTCATCCCACAACAACTTTTGCCTAGTGAAATACTCATTTAGTGAACTGTCTCTCTGCTTAGTTTGGTAAATTTCACAATTGATCTCTGCAATGCGAAAGAGATACTGCTTACTAAACCTCCTCTTGAGGTCATTCCAGATGCCACAAGCTGTATCAATCCACAATACGCTGTGTGCAATTGTTGGAGCTAGGGTTCGCACAATCCAGGATCCAACAATATTGTTACATCTTTCCCAGGCAAGGTACTTTTCTACATTATCCATGCTAGGTTTTGTAATGGTTCCATTGATGAAGGCCACCTTGTTTTTACAGGATAAGGCCATAGTCATGGCTCTAGCCCAAGGGTGGTAGTTTGAGCCATCTAACTGGAATGAGACTAATTCCAGTGCCGGATTTTCATTCATGTGCAAGAAGTAAGGATTTGAGTGAGCCTGAGGATCAAATGTTACCTCTCTGGCATTAGTTGTGGAAGACGAAGGGATCGGATTTGGATTTCCAGTAGCTTGATTTGCTGTTGGATCTGCCGTAGTGTAATTTCCCGGTGTGGTTCGTTCTCCGATCGAAGGCCACGCCGTCATTGGATTAGGTTGGACTGCCATTGGAGCAGATTGAGTGAGTTCTCAATTTCTTTGCTCTGATACCATTTCACGAAATGGAAGAAGATGAAAAGAAGTAACTGTTTCATTTTATTGTCAACTGGAGGACCAAAGCTCCCTTTTATACAAGAGATACAAGAAAGAAGAGATGAAGCTAACTGCTAATAACTGCTAAACAGAAACAAACAAACTACCAAGAAGGGGAGGAGGATAAGATGGTGACACGTAGCAGCCAGGTGTCAATATCCTATAGTCCTAAAATTTGGCACAGTAATAAGCACTTCTTTGACAATTGGTATCAAAGCAGGTACGGTCCAACTACTAGCTCTACCTTTTGGCATAGTAATAAGCGTTTGATCATGCATGAGAATGCAGCAAGGTACGATAGGATCTCCTAGCTTGAACTTAGAAGAAGCCAAAGGGGCCATGAGATTGGACTAGTTGTAGAAAAATTGTGAATGGGGAGTGGCACATTTTCTTAACTCCCATGTGAACAGGGCCGGCCCTGGGGCATGGGCAGGCTGGGCCCCTGCCCAGGGCCCATCCCTAGAGGGGGCCCATAGACTAAGATATAATAATACATTGTATATTATATATACTTAGTATATACTAGAAAAAATTATTTAATTATTTTTGACTTAATGACTTCTTATGGAAGTTAAATAGACGGAAGATTCAGGAAGAACCGGAGAAAAGAGGCATTGGCGCATCGCAAGTCGCAACCATTCAATACTTCTTCGCCACAGCAATCGTTCAATTCCTCTCAAGGAGTTATTAAAAGTCCAGAAGCTAAATAAGAATGGGCAATCGAGTGAATCGAAAATCTACTTTCATAATCCACAAATAACAAATCTTTTCTGCGGTCAGCCGATCCTGACTCTGTTCGTCGCGCCTTCACCACTCTGGTCTACAATTGTAATTTGCAAAGGTATTTTAATTTTTATGATTTGAGATTTTTTTTTTGAAAGATATGATTTGGGAACTAGGCGATATTATTAACTGTATTGTTGAAAAGTCTATGATTTGGCCATTTGAGAATTAGGATTTGCATAATTGTAGAATGCACTACATTTGGAATTTGTAGAATTCTGATTTCTGAAAGCTCTATAATTTATTTAAGAATGATCATTTTTAATTGGGATTCGCAGAATTGAAAACTACAAGTCATGGCTTAGTTTGTTGCGTAAATAATTATCCATTTATCCAGAATTCTTAATTCCTAATTGTTAATTGAAATATTGAATAAGCTCTATTGTTAATTGAATAAGTTGTATTGTTGTATCTATTCCTTCTCAAAGTAAAATGGCATCTGTCAAATGGCAAAGTAATTTTTTGGTTTAATTTACTAATTACTTTGATGTAGTGATTCATATTGTCTCTTTTTAATCTTTGTGAATTGCTCATGTTGAATGTTGATGTCCAAATATTAATGGGGATTTATTCGGAATTAATTGGCCTATATGTTATAATTTCATTTATTTATGCAGAATATTAATCTTTATTTTTGCAAGGATTGAATGACATGAATATTTAATTTGTATTTAAAAAAATTGTTAAAAATTTTCTAATCTTATTTCATGTTATTTGACATCATGATTTTATTAGTATTATTTAATTTTAATTTTAATCTTTTATATAGGGGCCCTTTTTTAAATTTCGCCCCGGGCCTATAAAATGTTTGGACCGGCCCTGCATGTGAAGCTCCATGGCTGAGTCAAATATATGTCAATTGTAAAAAGGTTTGTGATATACCACATTGCTTGTCGTGTTTGGAATGAAGAGATGAAGAGAAGGCCACCCAGGGAAGAGAACAGCAAGCTAGTATGCGTGCATGTGAATTGTGAATTGAAGTAACAACAAGTTAAAATGCCCTATCATATATATCCATTCTTCAACTAGCTACCAATTAAGTTGGTCAACAATATAATTTCAATTCCTTATCTGTTCATCAACTTGTCACATGCAATGTAAAGGATTTGACGCGAATGGCCTAGAACGTAACGTTATTATCATATATAATATATATTTGACTTCAATAGGTTTTAAAACTTGAAATTAAAGCAATCTTGAATTCTGTATGGTTCAATTCTCTTTTTGCATGATATATATATATATATATATATAGGAAAAAGTTCTCGTGCGGCAGACACTTCCCGTGCGGCGGTGCGGCGGGATTACAGAATACACCAACAGTGTAAGGGAAACGCACCACAATGAAATGCAAAAAAACATCACAGAATACACAACAAATCCAAAAAATACACCATATAACTCATCACACCCCAATGGTGTATTTTCGAACACTGTATGGTGTTTTTTCTCACGCCTAATGGTGTATTTTTTGTGATGCGTACCTAATTTGTGTGTATTTTTATGGTGTATTTTCCTATCGTTAATGGTGTATATTTATTGAACTATTGGTGACGCCGCACCTAAGAACACCGCCGCACCTGAACTATATATAAACAATATATATATATATATATATATATATATATATATATATATATATATATATATATATATATATATATATATATATATCTGGATCGGAATGACACGTATGTTGCAAAAATCGGTCTAGGTGTCCTTATGTACACATGAGTATGTATGTGTACATATATAATTATCAAAATTCATCCCATGTTTGGTCATTCCGATCAATTTTTCTCTATAATCTTATTTGATTTTTAACGCTAACCCAAAGATCACTATATTCAACTATGTCGACCGTTTGCATGCCACTTAAATTTCAATAACTCATATGATTGTTATGTTAGAGATTTCGACTAAAGTTGGCTAAAAAATCAATCAAAAGGATCAAATGTGATAGGTATTGATAGTCATACACCAACTGTGGATGGAATTTGATAGTCATATACCAAATGAGGAAATTAACTTGGTAATTAAAAATCAAATGTATGATGGAGAAGTATGTACAATATCCAGAGGACAAAAAGTGGAAAAAAAAAAAAAATCTCTAATTTTGATTGCTTAATTAGAAGAATTTGACGCAAACAGTCTAGAAAACTATCATAGACTAAGCTATAGGATCAATTATAGCTAATGTTTATCACTATACCAAAAGTTATAGCTAATAGCAAAATCACAACTAGCCACGCCTAATAATCCTCTCAGCACCTGCCAACCTTCGAACCCGTACGTGACCATGACTCTGAAACCAATTATTGGATCAATCGTTTAGTACTACTACACCAAAAGATATAACTAGTAGCGAAGACACAACTTTATTTCCTTATACTTACATAACAGTTAGCGCCATGGTCCGATGATAGGATGCTGAACTTGACTCTCCAAGTCATAGCCCAACAATATCATCAATATGTTTTACAAATAATAATAATAATAATTTAACCTCCAACTCTATATAAGAGAACTGGTTCAATTCCCTAACTTTGTGTCATATATATGTGTATACGTCAATAAAATCAGATAAATTACTCTGAAAGTTCGATCACGTGACAAACCCTAGTCCCTAGCTAGCCAAGTAGCCATTCTCAAAAGCCTAGAGGACATAATAGGACCATGCCTCATCTGGGACCAGTGCCCTAGTGCATGTCCAAGCCTCTATATCTGACCAAACATCTTCAACAATCATCATACCCAAATTAAAACTATATCTTAAGAAATGGGATACCAAAAAGAAAAAAGAAAAAGAAATTGTATTATTAGTGTAATATTATTATTGTTATTGATGGTGTGCTTCCCTTGTCAACCACGTGGACCAAACCGATATCTCCAGAAAACGGATCGGAGCGGGGAATTAAAGAATTGAAGATCGATGATATATGATGATGATGAAGATACTGCGTGTGCCATTGTCCTCTCCTTATCAGGCAACAACATCACCCAACAACCCTAATGGCTTCTTTCATCTATACTTTATCTTTTCTCATTTCTCCATATGATAATGATACATCACAAACTACACTTTATATATGTGTGTATCATATTCAATTCATGCTTTTATATGACGGCTGCCAAGTTGGTAAGTTTAATATTACACCCGGCTTCTCGATTGAGTTGTAATTGATCTTTACTAAAAGTAATTTCAGATAAAATACCGTTATTTCGGCCTCCATAATACTTAAAAGCATTACCATTAATTATAGAAATGTTTAAGGTGTCATTTAACGCCGTGTCAGTTTGCACTATAGGTACAACTCAAAATGCATGTCTAGTGCGTTGTACTAGATAGTCTAGATTATATTCACAAAGTACACAACTCAAAAAAAAAAAAAATTATATAAATTATTATACCCCATACAGATTGATCAGCTTGTATCTATAGTCATCTTAGAATTTTCATATCATTTGTTACTGTAATTAAACTTGGAGCGGTTTAAAAAAAATAAATTGAACCCAAATTCAAACCTCGAGGATCCCATTGCTTTTCACAATTGCTCTAATTTTAGGGCTTAATTTGTAAAGGAGGTCAATCGTAAGATATGCTTCACAGAGACATAAACTAAACATTTGCTCCACTAATGTCTACAAGCTAAGAGATCTAACTCAAAAATGTATTCACTATTACCAATGAGAATTGAACCTAGGTTTACCTCATCTTAAATAAATTTTAAAAGTTTAAATTTTACGGAATTGGTTTTTAATATTTTTTTAATGATTATTGTTGTTATAATATTCATTGTGCATGTCCAAAAAGAACATGTATACTCAATGAATAAGAGATAAAGATGAGCACACTTTATAAGTGGCACAAATAATATAATAGCCAATTTATTACGTGTGAGAATTTAAATGGTCATTTTAAGATCCACAAGAGGCAATCACTTAAATAAACTTTATCATATTTTCTCCCAAATACTAAAAGGCAACACGTTTTGTTTGCTTTAATTAGCAAAACACACTTACACGACTGTTTATAATCATTGTATGTAATCCTAAGGTCCAATTTTGGTCAGATGGGGCGATCGGATTAGCAGAGCCATCTAGGTGTACATGCACCCTACCTCTACCAATTG